GGAGGGAGGGAGGGAGGGAGAGGGAGGAGAGGGAAGGTGAGGGAGGGAGCAGGGAGAGGGAGAGGGAGAGGGAGAGGAAAGAAAAAAAAGAGAGAAGAGAGAGAGAGAGAGAGAGAGAGAAACGAGAGAGAAAAAATTACTATTGAATATGTTTCAATTTTTTTTTCATTATCTTTTTTATTTCTGATTATTATTATTTTTTTTAATCTACGGAATCAAATCAACAAGAATTTAATCCTACCCCCCCCCCCCCGCCCAACACTCCGCGCCATTCATGCCACCGTGGGCGTGATGCCGTCCACAGCCCCCCGCCCACTTATCACCTCCCTCTCCTCCCTGCCCCCCATATACACCTCCCCCCCCTTACTCTCTCCCTCTTCACCTCCTCCCTTCTTCCTCCCTTCGCTCTCGTTCTCCCCTTCTCCTCTCTCATATCCTTCTTCTCCCTCTCGCCTTCCCTCTTCCCTTCGTCCCTTTTCTTTCTCCCTTTCGTCCCTCCCTCTCGCCCTTCCCCTCCTTCTGTCTCCTTTTCTCCTCTCCTTCTTGCTCTTTTTCCCCTCTTCTCTTCCCTCGTCTCTCTCTTTTCTTCTTTATTTTCTTCTCTCCCCTTGTCTCTCTCCTCTCCCTCTTCTCTTCGCTCCCCTCGTCTTTATCCTCTTCTCCCTCCTTCATCTCCCTCAATTCCATTTCCCAACGCCCCTCTCTCAACCGCCCCCCCTCCCCCTCCCCCCCCCCCCCCCCCCCATTTCCCTCATCCTCCTGAAACTCCCTTAATCTTGTCTCCCCCTCCCCCTCCTCCGCGCATGTGTACCCTTCCCCCCTTCCCCTCCTTCCCCATGATCCTCCCTCACCTCATACCTCTCACACTACACGTTTCAATTCCTTTCCCTCCCTCCCTCCCTCCCTCTCCCACTTCCCTCCACTCTCTTCCCCTGTTCCCTTGTCCTTAATAACCTTTCTCTACCCTTCCCCCCTCTCCACCCCCTACTCCCTCTTCCCTCTCTCCCTCTTCAACCTCCCCCTAACTCCTCACTCCTCCTCCCTCTTTCATTTTATCTCCTTCCCTCCATCCTCTCCCTCCCCCTCTCCCCACCCTGCTTCTCCCCCCCGCCCAACTTCCTCCCCCTCCTCCTCCCTCCCCACCCCTCCTCGAGCAGCTGCACCTGCTCTCTAAGCTATTTCCCCTTCTCCCCTTCCCCCCACCCCTCTCCCCCTTTCCAACTACCCCACTACACTTCCCCTTCCCTACCCCCCCCTCTCTCCTCCCCCTCCTCCCGCTATACCCCCCCCCCCCCTCAACCAGTCAAAACAGGGACGCGATTCCCTTTCCTCATCTTGCTCTTTCCTCTTCCCCTTTCGCCTCCTCCCCACCTCCCCCTCGCCCTCCCCCTGTCCCTCCTCCTCCCTCTCCTCGTCTCTTCTCCTCTCCTCTTCCTCCCTCTAATCTTTCTCTTGCTTCTTCGTCTGCATCCTCTTTTCTCCTCTCCCTTTTCTTTCTCTGTTTCTTCTTCATCTTCCTCCTTCTCTCTTCTTCCTCCCTTTACCCTTCACCTCTTCTCTCTCCTTCATCTCCCTCCCTCTTCCCTCCTTCCTCCACCCTCTACCATCCTCCCTCCTTCCCCTTCCTTCCTTCTCCTTCCTCCTATCTCCCTCCTCCCTCATCCTTCGAAAGGCACAACTCGTGGCACTTGAGAAAACTTTAGGAAAAGTAAAAAGAAAACCAATAATAACGCAAAAAATAAAAAATATATTTAAAAGAGATGGATGAGACAATATTGGAGGAAACTAACTTAAAAAAGAAAAGAAAGGAGAGAGAGAGAGAGAGAGAGAGAGAGAGAGAGAGAGAGGAGAGAGAGGAGAGAGAGAGAGAGAGAGAGAGAGAAAGAGAAAGAAAGAAAGAAGAAAGAAAGAAGAAAGAAAGATAAGGAAAGAAAGAAAGAAAGAAAGAAAGAAAGAAAGAAAGAAAGAAAGAAAGAAAATCCCACAGCGCTAGTCAATACACTTCCATCCGCAAATCAACATCAAAAAAGCAAAAAAACAAAAAAAAGGAAAAACAAAAACCCAAACGACAAAAAAAAAAAAAAAAAAATCCCACTTCACCCCCCCCCCCGAGTCCCCGAGAGCAAGCGACCCGACCCAAGACTCCAAAATACGAGTCAAGGGCTCTTAAAAAAAAAAAAAAAAAAAAATGAGGAGAGAACCCTTCAGTTGAAGAGCCAGAAATATTCGCGCAATTTGGAAACAGACAAATGATGAAAAGAAATGAGTGGGGAAGGAAAATGGAGGTTAAATGGAGGATGAATCAATGAAGAGGTAATAATTAGGAAATAAAAATATGAAGGAAATAATGGGAAGGAAGGAATGATGAAAGATAAATGAGGTGGAAGAGGAGATGGATGAGGAGGAATAGGAAAAGGAGAAGGAGATGAAGGTGGAGAAGGGAGGAGGTGGAGTGAAAAGTAGTGGTAGTAATAGTAGGATAAGGATAGGAGAGGAGGAGGTGGAGGAAGGAGTATAGGAGGAGGAAGGAGGAGGGAACATAAACAGTATCATAAATGTATGCATGCATGTACAGAAAGACAGATGAATATATGAATAGATAGATAAATAGATATCCAGTTATATATAGATAACGTTTAAATACTATATCTATACTGTACACATTCTCTCTATCTATTCATCTATCGATCTAACCTTTTATCAGTCTACCTTAGTGTCTTTTAAACTATTTTTAAATTTATCTACATATCTATCTATCTACATATCTACATACTTACCTACCTACCTGCCTATCTATTTACCTACCTATTTATCTACCCACCTAACTACCTATCTATCTATCTACATCTCTATCTACCAATTTCTCTAACCATCTATCAATCCATCAATCTATCTACCTATCTCTATCTCAACCCCATTATCATCTACACCTTATTTATCACAAACATTTGTCCTACGTGATTAGCTTCCTTTTTTTTTTTTTTTTCTTTTTTTTGTGGTTATAAAGCTTCCTCTTTGGCGATCCTCCAAGGCACCTCTCTGGCTGGGGGAGGGAGGGGGGAGGAGGAGGGGGGAGGGCGTAGATAACTCGGAAATGAGCAACTCTCTCTCTCGCTCTCTCGCTCTCTCGCTCTCTCGCTCCTCTCGCTCTCTCTCCGTCTCTTCTCTCTCTCTCTCTCTCTCTCTCTCTCTCGCTCTCTCGCTTCTTCTCGCTCTC